GAGAGAAGAAGAAAAAGAGGAGAAAACTGTAGATCATGGACTGTAATATGACCAGTGGTGGATGAAGTACTCAATTTTACGTACAGGTACAAGGGCAAGAAGTTTCTCAAGTAAAAGTAAAAGTAAAAAAGTACCATATTATAACGTTGTTCAAAAAGTGCCTGAAGTGGTTTTATTTATCATCCATGCATGTTTGAGTACGTCATTTCTACACAAAAATACAAAAGTAAGATGCAAAAGTGTACACAACAACTTCAAAATACTGACGCAATGTGCAGTAGTTATTAGCGAGATGCACACTGATCGTGTTGTGATAGCGCTCTGAAGGGGGAGAGACTTAGCACAGAGAGCAAAGGGAGAAACTACTCAGAGCAACAAAAATGAAAGAGCAAATAGAGCATTTTCAAAACAATAAAAGGTAAACTACTGCCTCTTTAAAGGGCCCATATTACACTTTTCTGACGCACACACCTTGCATGTTTACGCTGAGTCCCTCTCTTCAACAGAAAACACTCTGTTACACGTTGTGATGTCATGTGGTAATGCAGGAAGTGCCTCACTGTGTTTTTAAACTCCATACACCTTCACTAGAATCATTTGTCTGAATCATCATTCATCAGACCTAGTGCCTTTGTTCAATTTCATTTCTCTCCAGCAACTAGGTCAGGAATTGGAAAACACTAGACCAGGCATGTCCAAACTATGGTCCGTGGGCCCATTGCAGCCCTCAGACAAATTTTTCTTGGCCCTCAGGCTTCCAGGTGAATTGGCTCAAATTACCTTACATCATTTAAATATTAACTTCTTACTGCAAGTATTTGGAAAATCTACCTTGATAAAGTGAATATTTAATATTTAGTGTGTGGTTTTAAGGATCTTAGCATGAGCCATCAGTGTTTATTCATGCTATTGGTGTTAAACATGCACATATTTCAAATATTCACTGTATTGAGCATTAGTCTATGGCCCTCGACTGGCCCTCTGCTTCATCTGTGTTTAAATATATGGCCCTTGATGAAAAAGTTTGGACACCCCTGCACTAGACGGTTCACAAAAACACTGAAAGTGCAAGTTTGGGCACCAGCCAATCAGTGAAGAGTGATATATTCAGTGTTGTCAACGATTCCTGAGATCGAGGATTTAAAGCTGGAATAAAGAGAATGTTTGGTGAATTTCATCAAGGGGAAAGACATTATTGTCCTTCTTCCTACGGGATTTGGTAAAAGCTTAATATACCATTTAGCCCTATTAGCGGCGCATTACATACGTCACGACCAAATAGCAGCGATTGGTTAAATGAAAAAAAGTACCTGCCTACGGTTGAGCAAACGAAATCTAAGGCTGCGAGGTCAGACGGTTTGTACGAAGTGAAATGAAGTAAAACCGGCTGATGAATCAGGCTAATGGAATTCCCAATCACTACTGAACAAAAGGTAAAAAGTAGCTGTACACAGGAAAAACTGGAGGGTTAAAATTACAAGGTGGAATATTTCAAAGTTTTTTTGTGTTTTTAACACAAAAAGTGTTATTTTAACTATTTGAAAGTTAAACAGGAGTTTGAGTTGGTATTATTTGTTGTTTATTATTATTTGAGTTGATATGGTTGAAGTTAATTCAACTTACCCCACCCACCACTTCAAACTCCAGACCAGTTTGGACCAGTTTTATACATAATTTCATCTTAAATTAACTCAAATAAAGTGTAAAAAATAAAACACCTCTGTGTGTTGTTCAGCTAAATGAGGATAACCCTACAAAGTGTTATCCGTTTACTTTACTAAAATGTTAATATAACTCTTGATTTCGGGGTTAAACAGGAACTTTGGTCCAGATTAACATTTCCAAAAATATTAAATAGATCGGAAATGTGTAAAAAATCCCTCAGTCGTCCAGGTACAATCCATGGCAAAGGAGAGAAATCAGTTTGTCGACCGGACGAAAAATTTTGTTTGGTCGAATATGTTTCACGGCTCATCCAGGAAAATGTCCATCAGTGTCTGACCAGAACTGAAGAAGCAGCTTGGATGAGCTGTGAAACCTATTCGACCAAACTAAAATTTTGTCCAGTTGACAAATTGATTTCTCTGCTTTGCCATAAATAGATCGGACTCATTTAAACCCTGAGGAAATGTTAAAATGGATTCTATGTGTCTATGTGTCGATTCTAAGTGTCAATTTTAACACTGCACTTTTTGCTGTAGCCACTTCATAACGTCACAAGGTGGAACGAGCATTTTGAGCTTTGGAAATGTAGACAGATTAATAATGCAGGATTACTCAAACATGTGTGAATGAAACAAAACAACAAACGTTTTTTTCACAAGATAACACCATTCTAACACGGCTTAAACCTCACAAGAGTCATTTTTGCGTAATATAGGACCTTTAAAATGCATTGTCATCATCAAATAAACCCATAATAATAACAGTTGCTGACACATGCTGAATGGGAGAGAATAATACAGGAAAGTGAATGCATACAAACACAAAGAGGACTGAGGGGAGTATACGCCGTGATGTGTACTGTGCTGTGTGTTCAACTGATGAAGTCTGATCTCCTGATATCCTTCTGCTGTCTTTCACTGAGCCTGGATTAAAGCAGGATTAAACCAGGAAACGCAAGGATCACACTGGAACTATAACCCAGGACGATAGCTGGGAGCATACAGCAAAACAAAAATAAGTGTGTGGTCCAGTCCCAGTGAAAAAAGGGAAGTTTTTTTTTTTTTTTCTTCACAAAATATGTAATACAGCCCCACCAAGATGATCTGTACACAGCATAGTGTTGTAGTAGTCGAGACCAAGACCAGTCCGAGACCACAGGGTTCCGAGATCAGGACGAGACCAAGACCTCTGAGGGTCGAAACCGGGACAAGAGCAGACCAAATCGAGACCATCTTTGTCATTTTTAACATTTATTTGTATTTTACAGTTATTTTGACACATACATATCAATGTTTTTGTAAATCTATCTCCATTTTATCTGATTAATGTTTATTTAGGCATAAAATAAGTCAAGCAAACTGTACTGTACTGACTCTGCACCTTTTTGGACCCTCACCCACAATTTGCGAACCCGTTTTTTTAACTGGCACTTTACAGAAAACTGTGAAGAAAGTGAAAAAAGTGGTTCCTAACTGGAGTTATATTATCTTACTGGTTTTACAGTGGGATTTGCCAGCCTCTGCACATTTACCAAACTCACATCGTGACAAATACAGATGCATTTGTGAACTTTTATTAAGCAAACTTCAACAAAATGTCGCAGTAAGTAATTTACTTCCGACAGCAGCGATCATAATTAAATTTGATTACACTTGACGAGTATCAGACCAAGAGTCCAAGACAAGACCGAGCCCAAATGCCTTCAAGACTGAGACAAGACCGAGTCCAAGCACCTTCAAGACCAAGACAAGAATGAGTCCTGACGCCTTCAAGACCGAGGCAAGACCAAGTCCAAACGCCGTCAGGACCAAGGCAAGACCAAGTCCAAACGCCTTCAAGACCGAGACAAGAATGAGTCCTGAACGCCTTCAAGACCGAGGCAAGACCAGAGTCCAAACGCCTTCAAGACCGAGACAAGACCGAGTCCAAACGCCTTCAAGACCGAGACAAGACCGAGTCCAAACGCCTTCAAGACCGAGACAAGACCAAGTCTTAACACCTTCAAGACCAAGACAAGGCAGAGTCCAAACGCCTTCAAGACCGAGACAAGACCGAGTCCAAACGCCTTCAAGACCGAGACAAGGCAGAGTCCAAACGCCTTCAAGACCGAGACAAGACCGAGTCCAAACGCCTTCAAGACCGAGGCAAGACCAAGTCTTAACACCTTCAAGACCGAGACAAGGCAGAGTCCAAACACCTTCAAGACCGAGACAAGACTGTAAAAAAAATGTTTTCGAGGCTGGTCTCAAGACATAGACCGGTCTCGATTACTACAACACTAAAACAGGGCGCAGAATTTTGTACTACACTCCTGACCACAACTCAAGTACTACTACTAAAATAATTGTAGTGAAAGTATGTTGCTAGAAAAGTACTCTAAAAAATATATTTTTTTAAGTTACTCAAGAAAAATGTAACTGAGAATGGACCAAACCAGAGCTAAACCAGATGGAAACCAGACTGAATACCTAATATGGATCTAACTGTGAACTAAAGTGAACAAAACTAGTCTGATTTAACCATTTTAAAGTATGTTTTCTTTATCTGTTAGCCATGATTTTAATATAATTTGTATACCATTCTATTTTATCTTTCGAATAAGCCTGTTTTCCTCGCCGTCCTCTCCCTTTCCGACTATTAAAGATACAAAGCCTGTTCATTTTTCACAGATAAAAAACACTTCTCCTGGTGACAGTTTGATTGACAGCCGCTGAATACACAATAGTTTCCTGTGCAGATGTCCACGCGTCTATTGTCACTGCGCTTGTGTTCGGAGATGACTGTGTTTTTCTATCTTTCACACGCACACACAAACACGGCTGTTTCTGGTTTTGTTCGGGGCCGTGGGTAAAATGATATTTGGGGGCCGTATTGGTCAAAAATAGTGAAAAAATGTGGCCTGAATATACCCAAAGTCCACACTGATCGCAAGTTAATTACCATAGATTTCATTCAGACTGTAGAAGCACAAATATTTACTGGAATAATAATGTTCTGTAAAGTTAAAGGTGCATTGAGTAACTTCTGGTGGTGGAGGGTTTGTCATTTTGTGTAAAAGGGGTGTAATTTTCTGCATTTTGGCGGGTTTTAGAGGATCCCAGCTGCTCTGTTTTACTGTAATGGTGGTAAAAGTCTTGCACTTTCCCAATAATACAGAAAAGCAAAGAGGGGAGAGACATTTTCAAGGACAAAATATCTATTCACCAGGACATTTGGGTCTTTTTCAAAATTTCCATGTGTTTTTCATGTCTCGAAAACGCGCCGACTATTGTCCAGGTTTTCTAGGGCATGAAGGAACCCCGTGATAATTTCTCTGTTCATTTTCTTCTCCACAGCCTGAAGAACTGACCAACGTCCTGGAGATCTGTAACATCGTCTTCACCAGCATGTTCACGCTGGAGATGATCCTCAAGCTCACCGCGTTCGGCTTCTTCGAGTATCTGAGGAACCCCTACAACATCTTTGACGGCATCATCGTCATCATCAGGTCTGTGTCTGAGGAGAATACATCAAATTATTGCATTTTTAAACAATAGGGATGAGCATGATTGGTCCATTAATCGATAATTGATCATTAAGAATTTCATTGATTATGTTCAGTTTTAATTAACAAACCGAATGTAGGTCGCTGTGCGTAGCGTAGGGTGGCCAAACGTCTGTTTTTCCCAGGACATGTCCCTTTTCCACGTCCTGTCCTGGCCGTCCGGGATTTTTTTAATTAATAAAGTGATGCAAATGTCCGGGTTTTCATTACCGTTCGTTGGGCCATTAAACTGAATGGCTCTCGTAGCTCTGTGTGCACTCAAAAGGAGCGAGCAGACACAAACAGTCGGTCAGCCTGAAACATGCCGAAGCACAAATGCGCAATTAACGATGACGTCTACAAGAAATTCCCTGCTTTCTATCCTGGTCGAGACAAGTGGGAGTGGGGGCACAGTGTACAAAGCAGCACATATGTTTCGGTGTCCAGTGGGGGTGCCAGGGACCTCAAAGCACCAGGACACCAAAAAACATTAAAAAGCTTTGCCAGGTGAGAGTAGCGCAATGTCGATGACGAGGCCCCACCCCCCGTACGGTGTCCTGGTTTTGACAAACGCAAATATGGTCACACTAACCTGTATTCACCTGAGTCATGTCCTTTAGTCCAACAGAAGTTGAACCACATCAGCGACACAAGAGCTGATATTTTCTTCGCTTAGTTTATGCAAATTAGCCATGCGGTTTTAAGTTTTGTTTCTGTGAGACTTGTGCAAAGCTGCAAACACATTATAATGTCAAATGGGCTGATGTGGCTCTAGAGTGTTTATGGTTTATATGTTATAAAGCTGAATTTATTTATGCAGATTAGTATTGCAGATAGTAATAATAATGATGATCATTTTAATATAAATACTTTAATGATTAATCGATAATCGATCGTTAATTCTCCCGACGACCGATTAAGACAATTTAATCGAATGCCCATCCCTAGTAAACAAACATTTCCAAGATGTAAAATCCCTCAGTCGTCCAGGTAGAACAGAACTGAACTGAAGAAGCAGCTTGGATGAGCTACAAAACATATTTGCCCAAATAAACTTTTGTCTAGTTGACAAATATAATTTCTCTTTTTGCAAAACATTTCCAAGCTACACTCTAAGAAATTAAATATTGGATTAAACTAAAACAAGGTTTGTCAACTGATTCCACACAAGCAGGTTGTTTTAATGTTACAGAACAATTGGTTATTACTAAATTCAAAGAAATAATGTTAATTAAATCCAAAGTAAAAATGCTGCTTCAAGTCAAGGCATTGTTTTACCAATTCATGATATTGTTTTGGAATTTCAACCTTATTATGTTCATTAAATTATTACACTTATATAAAAATACAAACAGTTTCTATCTAAACTTACAATGTTAGTTTGGAATTAAGGAAAAAAGCAAATACAAAATAAGTTCTACATCTTTTTGCAAATATACTGTAACAACAACAGTTCAGTAAGGCTCATGTAGCAAACAAGTGTGCTCTATATTTAGTGCGTATGACACGTTTCTCTAATTTTGTGTGTTGTAAATATAAATTCTAGTTTTACACCAATCAAGAAACAAATTAGTGAAAAAAAGTTGAAAACTAGAAGTAAAGTTCTAAAAAAAAGCATTGATCATCACAGTAGGACAAATTCTATCCTAAAGTTTGGCACAATTTGCATGAACGAAACTTTTCTGATACGACGCACACACAGTTTGAGTCCAATTATGAACGCAGAAGATTTACAGTTTGTTCTTGACATCTTGCACCTTGTTCGATACTTTCTTGCCATCCAAATCCATGAGGACTTTTTGATAAAACTCAGAGGTGCAGCGTAGTTTCAGGCAGTACAGGAGTCTAAACAGCAGAGCACATTTCGCAGGTCCTGGAGAAAAGGGCTGCGTAATGCTCACTTTAAAGGTGCACTGTGTAACTTTTCTGGTAGAGGATCCTTCAGATGCTTTTCTTTGTGTTATTGCTTTGTCTGGATTGTTTCACAGTATGGCATTAAACCTTTCTATCTGCACTGAGACCAAACCAGACCAAGTTACGGGTCAGATCTGTGGAGAGGCGATCCCGCTCTCAGTCATAATGCCGTTTTTTCTGGACTATAAGTCACTCTGGAGTATAAGTCGCACCAGTCAAAATTGCTTAATGAAGAAGAAAAAAACATATATAAGTCGCACCGGACTATAAGACGCATTGTTGGGGGGAAATTTGTTTTATAAAATCTGAGACCAAGAACTGACATTTCATCTTAAAAGGCAAGTAATAGTGATAAAAATAGAACAGAGAACAACAGGCTGAACAGGTGTTTGTATGTTAACTCTTTCCCCCCTGGACGCCTACTAGGAACAACCCATACATATGTTACTAGGGCTACACCCATAGAGCATAATTGCATAAAAGAAAACAGACTTCCACGAGTGATTATAAATTATTTTTTACACTCATTAACTTAATTGTAACACAGACATATTTGTATCTCTGGAAACCTTAGACTCTGAACTCTTCATTTATGGATGTTTAAATGTGATTCAACTCATTTATAGGTGTATAACAGCTCACTGAAATGAGAGTTTACCTGGTCAGGTGCAAACTCGAAAACAAAAAACTACATTCAGCATTTGATATATACATGTTCTGAGTACTATATTCATAAAAAAATAAAAAATATACTTTGTCAAAGTATTTAAACAGATTTCATATCACCAGATACAGTATAGCCAAGTGTGCACCTGTTTTTACCTGTTGTACACCTGTGTGCATCTAATTCATTTTTTCCATTTAACTTATTCAACTTATTTAATTTATTCAACTCATTTAGCTTATTCAACTAATTCATCTTATTATAATATAATAATAAAACTCTTCCCCGTCAGTGTGTGTCCAGTATTTGTCATCTTGTTTACTTTCTCGTGTGCAGAGCTCCACATAAGTGTTTTTTCTGTAGCGATTCTGTTAAACATCGCATCTTGGAAAAAAAAAGACTGAAATATTTTAAAGGACTGGCCTGGGCAACATCCAGATTTCAGGGCAATTTTGGTTCATAATCGAGTATAAAGCTCAGATAGTTTGTTCGGATATCGCAGGACTCCACACAGACGCATCAGCGGCATTCTCATCTTCGTAAGATCCCTCTCTGAAAGTCCGTCGCTATCGCTGTTTTCCACTTTATAATCAACTTCATCATCACTTTGAAATCAATAAAAGTCAATTATCTAAACTTATCCATAAAATACGTCCGCTCCTCATTATTTCTAAAACTGTGTGCTGCAGCGCGATCTTTCCATTGCTCGTGTTTCGTGTTCTGTTTTTTCCGGAAGCTACCATCGTCACTACTTCGATTAACTTTGGAAAAAAATCGGCGAAAACATATCCTTGAATCCTATTGGTCAGTCTAGTGTGGGTTGTAGTGGCCCCGACCTGTTGCAGTCTCTGTTTAAATGTGAAAAACCGAGCAATTTCTAAAGGTCGTCAAATCACGTCTTTAGTGAAACAGCGGAGGTGTCAAAAGTCGTCATTAAGGGAACAGGGGGGTCGTTAAATGTCTTCATGGGGGAAAGAGTTAACGTAACATATGAACAGTTATTCAGATAACTATAGCATTAACAATCACTAAATCCGTAGAACTTTTCTTCCTCAGCGTCACTTCTGAGCAACTCTGCCATCTAGCTTTTAGCCCGCGATGAGCTTTTTTAGTTTTCTTCATTGCAGTTTGAGTATCCTCTGTTTTTCGCCAGTCCCTCACAAGTTTTTCGCTCACTCCAAACTTTCTTTCTGCTGCTCAATTACCATTTTCACGACTTGCAGAAGGACAGCGGCTCTTTCTGCAGGAGACATGCGCAGTAGAGTGAAGTGACAGTGGTACAGGAGTAATAGGAGCAGCAGATACTGACACACAAGACTAGAGCGCCCTCTCGAGGCTGCCAGTGTGAAAATAACAAACATGTGAAATTATCTATTTTAATATACCGTATTTTCCGTACTATAGGCGCACTGTCATAGAATGGTCTACTTTTTTCACAAATAAACCCGACTTTAAACGAAACACAGCAGTTGGATGGGTCAGTGGGACTTTGTTTGCCGCGTTCACGGTGACTCTGGGCTTTGTTCAGTTGTGGCGTGTAGGGAGGGTGTGTCTGGGACCGCTGGATTGTCGGCGTGTTCGCAGTGACTCAGTTGTTCAGTCGAGTCTAGAAGTGGCACATTGCACTCGCTTTTTCGGTTCGTTCCTCCGTTCCGTTCCTCGTCGGCGTGGAGTGATGTGAGTGTGGCTGCGGGTGGTGCAGCGTTGTAGTTTACTGAAGTCGTGAGTGGATTCGTGTATAGAGCGCTCTGGATTGTGGGAAGTGCTGTAGTTTTTTGATGCGGTCGGAGGCTTAAAGGTTGTATGGAGGATTTATTTATTTTTTATTTTTTTCAAATTGTCAATGAAAGTTTAAAATACCATTACAGAGACGTTGCAGCCTTGTAATTATGATGACCAAAAAAAAAAAAAAAAAAGAATGAAAATCTACCAACTGTGGACGTAGTGAGGCTAGATAAACATCAGCCAAAAGATAACGAGGCTCCCTCATTTTCTATTGGCTGTTAGGTTGTCAATCAAACTCCCTAGGTTCCTAGTGTAACTGACTCGCTGATGCGCGGGGATTACGTGGTTTATGCAGCGGTTCTTAGAGGCTTTTTTAAACTGTCGCTTCCTCGCAGTTCGCACAAAGTTTGTTGAGATGGCGGACGAGAATCCACGACCAGTTCATCGCAAAAGAAAGTCCGTTTTTGAGGTCGCTGAAAGAAGAGAAGGGGAAAAGGAGCAAAGCCAAACTGAGGTGATTCTTGGAGATTCCTTCCGGCGACGGCGCGAATGAAGCAAACGAAGGGTATAGAAACTGACATGTCAGTTCTAGACAGGTCACTTCAACAGTAATTCTGAACAGTCACCGGCTGTAAACAAACATGATTTCTAGAGTAAGGAG